TAGCAATTGGCACTATGGAGGATTCTGGGCTGCCGAACAGTCCTGAAGTAGCTCTAGGAGGTTGACCAATGGGATGACTTGTGGAGTATGGTGCCACTCCCACGAGTATCAGAATCTTGTCCAGAGAAAGCATATAGAACAAGCATGTCTCAGTAAGCATGTCCTTTTCACAATGAAGCCCCAAACTATGATTTAAGTTAGAGTGGGGTCTGAGCCACACAGGTTATGTCTACACTGAAGGGGTGATTGCAGGTCGGGTGGCATACCCACACTAGCTTTAATCTGTACAAGACCACCCAGTCCCCTAGGTGTGTACTCACATTGCTAGCCCAGACTGAAGCCGATGCTGCTGTGTCTCCATTGCTATTTTTAGCTGTGCTAGCTAGATTAAAGCTAGCCCAGGGATAACTACATATGCTGCAATCACACCTCCAATTGCAGTGTAGACATAGCCTAAGTTCAGTACGTGACCCAAACTTCCCCAAAGTTCCGGGGAGCTCTGGTCTGGGGATTTGGTTCAGACTTAACTTTATTTTGAACAGAGAAATGAAACCAGCCATGCAAAACTTTTTGAGGCCCAACAAAATGTTTATTGAAGCTCAAAATGCCTTCATTCGTTTTCTGAGAGCGAATTGCCTGGTTTTATGACAACACTCATATGACAGCTGGTGACACAGCAGATCTTTGGCCCCCAGCAACCATCAGCTGCAGCGTGGACCAGAATTCTCGTGGGTCTGCATAGTTGGTAGCGTATGAGACTTTCCTGGGTGAAATTCTACAGCCTGGGTTATTCAGGGGGTCAGACTAGATGATGTAGTGGTTCCTTCTGGCCTTAAATCAATGAATCGTTGTTTTATGGTTTGGCTTCACAGTATTTAGTTTGGATAAACTCAGAGCAAAAATCCAGGGACATAAAATCGTGTGGCTCAAAACCGAGCTAGGGCCTGAAACGCCATTCGAGTCAACCGGGAGCTGTGCTATTGATTTCACCGGACACAGGATTAGCCTGTTAAAAGATTTTTGAATAAGAAGGTGAACGGAAACCAGCCTGATTCATCGAGTCTCCTAGAGAGGCAGAGGCATGATTATTGATGGGTACAGGGACAGTAGAGCTTGAGAAGCAGATTGCTCAGGGCTGGATGATGATGAACTCGTTCGGATAAATAAAAGGAGGATCCAACCCAGACCTTTTTCTCAGAGATTCAGAAGAGTTCAGTTGAAACATTTCACCCACCCCCTGGCCTACAGGCACTTCCTTGTTTCAGCAGGAAGAGCGAGCTACTCTGGGTGTTTCAGGCAGACTGGAACATATCCGTAAGTGCAGGCAGCCTCACCATACATTTTGCTTGCAAGATTTCCAGCCTGATTTGCAGACTAAACCAGTCCAGATACAAAGAAAAACATGCAAATGTCTGGCTACTTGACTGGACCAGCCCTCTGAACTTTCACCCAGCCCTAGCAGTGAGAGGAGAGAATATTTCTCCGTGGTTAGAGCAGAGGACAAGAGGCCCAATTCACTGTTGCCCAATATTCATTGACACCGGCGTAGAGTGGGGATAAAACACTACGACATTACACTGGGGTGTCTGCATTCCCTTTGCAGTGGTGGAAGTAACTGCATAAGGTGCAGGGTAATGGTGAATCAGGGCCTTGGAGTCATGGCCCCTGAGTCCTGTCCCCAGTTCTGGCACTGATTCACCATGGGCCTAAAGGCAAGTCAAAAGTGGCCTCTGATTTGGTGTGCCCAACTTAGGCCTAATTGTCAAGAGAATGTCGGCCCATAGCCCAAACTGTAATTGTGTGGATTGTGAGGGCCCTGTACTTCTGAATATCAAGCCCAAGGTGTCTCCGACTAGATACCCAAGATCTGTCCTTGCTTTTGACAAAACTTGGCCTTACTCTCCCTGTCCGTCTGAGTCCCCATCTGTAATATGGGGTCAGAGTTGAGATCCTGGGATGAACGGTGCTGCACAGGGATTCCTTACTATTGTTATTACATAGGCAGTCAGAGCAGATCAAAACTGTCTTTTATTTTTCCATAATTTGGGGATTTTGTCACCAAAACGTACAACCCAGCAAAGGGCCTTAGACCCACTTATAAAAAAAGGGGGCAATCCTTTCATTCGAACCCGTGGGATGCATCCTGGGAGGTTCCGAGAACCTGCTGAAGCCAACAGGAGTTAGGGCTGCACAGCCCCTCATCCATAGGCTGGGTGCTCAGCACTGGCAGAACACTGCCCCTGCTGGAGTCAATGGTAAAACTCCCACTAGGTCACAGCTGGGTTGTGGGTGGCCAGACCTAATAGAGCCAAAGTCCACGGCCACGAGACAGGAGTCAGAATACCAGGAGGTCAGACGCAAACCACAAGCTGGGAACCAGAGTCAGGCTGGGTCAGGATACCAGGGGCTCAGAGGCAGGAGACAAACTGGATGTCGGGAACCGTGAGTCAGAGGCCAGGAGATCAAGCCAGGGGAGCCCAGAAAGGGTAGAGCCCAGTTGTTCAGACAGCTTCCTGTTCCTGCTGCTGGCTTCAGTAGGGCCAACGGGCCAATCAGTTGCCCTGGGACTCTGCCATTTGGACTTCAGGAGCGGAGCCTTACACTGGGGCTGAGGTTCCTGGGTCTCAGGTAACCTGCTGCCAGCTGGCTGCTGGGTGGAGAGCTGGAGCGTGGCTGCTTCCATGAACCTTGTGGGCCCATGTTTGAGACCCGTGGGTCATGACACACTGATTTCAGTGGGAGCAGAGTTTGGCCAGTGCTAAGCCCTTTTGAAAATCCCCCGGTAGGCCTTAACACTGGGATGCGGCGCTCTTTTCTCCTGGTCGCTGGCTCCAGTGCAGTCCATGTCGGGAGCAGCCAAAAGGCTCTTTGGACATAACAGCGGCTGACAGTCCCATGAACTGAGTGTGGTTATCTCTGTCTGCTTCCTACTGCTCAGGTGACCACATCCCACCGATCACCATGGCCCTTGTAGGCTGGACTGGAATGAGCCCTGGAAATGCAATTCCGCGCTCCCCTCTTTCCAGGACAGAAGACAAAGGCAAAAACAGTTGTCAGCTGATAAAGTGTCTCTGAGTTTATCTTCCCACCTCAACCCATGTGCCCAAGTCATCTGGGCTGGTGGTCAGCGCAGCCCGAGAGTGGCCTCTGCTGAAATAGGAACAAGATAGAGACAATTAATGGCACCCAGAACTAGTAACGACCAGGTATGCGTGATGCCGAGAACCAGACCCTTGGCCAGCTTAATAGGCCAATTGAGAATTCCCCTGGCCTGGGGGACCACCGGGCAGCGTAGCTGGTTCTATGCCAGTGCCCCTCAAAGCCCCCAGTGAAGGAAGCATGGCTGGATGTAGGAACACGAGGGAGGGGTGACCTGTCTCCTCCCCACCCCACCCCTTTCCCTTCCAGAAGGATCTGGGGGAGGTGGTTTCCTTTAATAAGAGTCCAAGAAGCTTTAATGAAAGTTTGTCTTTTCAACACACAGCCTGTTTGGGCTCCTTTTTGTGGGGAAGGGAACTGGGAAATTCCCCAGTCACTCACAGAGTCCCAGAAATCTGTCCCAGGGCATGGCCTCACAGCCTGGGCAAGCAACAAAGATTCCTTCATAGTCTCTCTTATCAGCCTGCAGGTGCCCTACCCCAGCTGACACCCTTGCAGCTTCTCAGCCTGAGTAAGTCAGTCAGGTTGGTCCAGTCTCTTCCCTTCCCCACCCAGGCCTGCTTCAGCTCTCTTGCAAGGAAGCAGCTGCTTGAGGTTCCTTCCCTGCGCCAGGTGGCTCTGGGTGGCTCATTCAGCAAGCCTGCTCCAAGCTTCAAGTCTCCTGCAGGGCGGCTCCCTCACTCCCTTTCACTCCTTCACTCTCTCACCGAGCAAAAGGGGACATGGCTAGAGGGCCTCTGTGCTCCAGCTCTTCCTGACTACCAAAATGGCCTGCTGGGGCCATGGGGAGCCAAGTGTAATGTAGAGCGATCCCTGGCCAGCCCCAGAGCTGAGGAACTGCAAAGCTGAAACCACAAACCTTTGCCTTGCTCCTTCCTCCCCACCCCAGGTGCTGTACTGAGCAGAGCTTGGCCAGGCAGAGGGACTGGGCCCTGAGACTGCACCGCAAGCACTTGGGATTTAGGGTCTGGCTTGATGGTGCATTCAGTTACATTCAGGGTATGTGGCTTTCCCCCCTAGACCTGTGAATTCTCCTTTGGCTCTGCGGCTTTGACCCTCCTCATGTTCATTCCCCTGCTGATTCTGCCTGTCAGCTTTGCGAGCTATTTTCAGCCATGCCTGTGAAGCCCTATTATAGCAGATGCCTCCTTTGGAACATTTCCTACCTGCAGCCAGGAAGCTCTGAGGGCTGAGCCCTGCTGACCAGGCTGGCTACAACTTCCTCTCCCCACCCCGCCAATACAGTGCTTCTCTGCAGCGTGAGACTTATGATGATGTGAGTCATCAGACCGAACCATCACAGAGCTTCCAAGAAACAGGAACCCTGCCTGCCCCTGCGGCTGTGCCAGCGCCAGGGGACCAGGTTCAGTAGTGTCTGTGAAGCTCTCAGAGGCTCTGGTGAGGACAGCCATAGAAATCCTCCTAAGTAAATCCCTTGTTTGGCCATGATTTTTAAGCTGACGTCGTCCCACTGGTCATGAAGCGACAGGGGGCAGATTGATCCCTACACTGTCACGGTTGCCAGTGCAGAAGCAGCTTGTGCCCCCTCTATTCAGGAGATCTGGGGACCAGTGCAGCCCCCAATTCAGTCTAGAGCTGCCCTAAGTAGTTGCAGGGACCCCAGTGGGGCTCTGCGGGGCACAGGTCCCTCTTGGCCATGCCCGGTCCCACCCACACTCTTCTCTGCTCTGCCCATGGCTGCTGCGCTTGGGCAAAGCAGCCCTACCACCAGGGATATTCGCTGAGGGGACCCTAGCACCAGCCTAGCTGGCATAAAGAGGCCACAGAGCAATGATGAACCAGGCACAGAAAGTCCAGTTTTCTAGAACTCACCACTGGTCCTAGGCTGTCACAGGCTGGGAGAGGACTTCATTCAAAGCCGCTATCCACTCCTTCTGCTCCCTGTCATTTTCACACACAAACACAAACTTCCTGTGTGGCGTGACTATGGTGAGCCCAGCTTTCCACCTCTTCCCCCTGACTCCTCTGGGCAAGCCAGCCTGGACCTCATATCCCTGCTCTTTGCTTCCAATAAAAACTCGGCCCAGTTCAAAGGCATCCTAGGTAGGAGAAAGCAGGACAATCACGGACCAGATTACAGGGGTTCATTGCTGCTCAGGGGTGGCCCCGTGCTGTCATCGGAAAGGCAGGAGTAATAGGTTCCATATGGAGGGGAAATTGCCCTGGACCCAGTGTAGGTGGACCCAGGGGTCAGGGAAAATCCCTGAGATTTATAAACCCAAAAGCATTCTCAAAATAGGGAACTGCAGATTTTGGAGCTGGTGGGGGCACGCTTGGTCATACCAAGACCACAGGGAGGATGTCCTGTGTTTAAAACACAGCACTGGGAAAGCACAGCGCTGGGGTCCATTCCAGGCTCTGCCTTATTGTTCATCTTACCCTAAGTACCCTAGACAGCTGCTACCCAGGGGCAGGGAGGTGGGCACAGCCAAGCTTTCAAAAGAGCTCAAGGCCAGATCTCCACGTGCTCTGCTCCCAACGTGCACAGCTCTCTTGAAAATCCAGCCACTCGCTACGGGGCCCAAATGGGTGCTGTCACCGGAGGGTGGGTGGGACAGAAACAGCCCCATCCCTTCCCTCTGCGAAGGGGCTCCGCTTACAGAATGAGGGGTCCTCTTACCAACGGGTCTTTAAAGTAGAGCAGGTTCCTCTCCAGGGAGTCCAGGCTGAACCAGCGCTTCTTAAAGGCCTCCTTGTGCTACAGAGAGAGAAGCAGCTCTTTAATGATCGGCTCCCAGGAACAGGGGTTCTGCCAACTCATGGCAGGCCTCTGGTATCCTGCTAACACTGTGCATTGGCTCAGTTTCAGTTCCGCAGTTCTGTGGTTCACCATTGAGCCTCACTTCCCTTCCCCCTCGATGTTAACACGAGTGACTTATGTACATTCGTTACCAACGTATAATCTTCAGCGTAGGCAGAAATGGAACTGAGCCGCTCGCTCCTCTGCGCTGAGCTAGGCAGGCCCTTCTCTGGGGCTTGCTGCTGCTTCCGCAGAATTTAGACTTTCAATTAAAAAAACAAGCGTCTCTAGCCCTCCTGGTTGGGAGCCTTCCAAGGCCAGGTGCCATGGTGCTACCTGCAGGCAGACATACTGAAACAACTCCTGTTTACCCTGACGTAGCCTAACAAACGCTACTTTCAGACCAGCATTATGTGCGTCACTGCTGATCCTTTAAGCAGTAGCACGGACTCAGGATGGAGCCTGAGTGGGGGGGGGGGGGGGGGGACGGACAGACGGGAGACGCCGGGACGAGGGGGGGGGGGAACTAGGGAATGTCAGAGAAGCAACAGAGCCTCACCACTTGGTTTCCAATCTGACCCCTGATCGTGATCCCAGCAAAGAAAACTGAATTCCCCCATTCCACTTACTGAACCAGTGGGCTAGGACTATGGGCCTCCGTACAGGAGGAGAACAGATAAGGGCAGAGGATTGCATTAGGCAGATCAGCATTGTAATGCTTCTGCTATACTGGGTGTTATATGGTGTTACAGACCTGCAGTTAACAAAGAAGCTCATGATACAGCCACCTCCTTGTGATAAATAATATAACTTTGCAATTCCAGAAATACTGGCCCCAATCATTTCATCACACTTTTAGTTTGTCACACCGTAGAAGGAACCCTCAAAGTTATCTTCATGCAGAAATAAAACAGGATCCCAAAACACTTTATAAACTGAAAGACAGTCTATTCCAGGGGGGGCCAAACCTACTGGCCCTCCAAGCCACATACGACAATCTTCAGAAGTTCGAGAGCCAGGGATCACCTGCTGGGAGCCGGGGGTTGGGGCTTCAGGCACCTGCCAGGGTTCAGGGCTTCAGCAGGAGCAGGGCTGAAGCCCCAAGCCCTGGCAGGTGCGCCCTGCAGGGCTGAAGCTCCAAGACACCTCCACCCCCGCTGTGCAGAAGCCCTGAGACCCCCTTCCATGCTGGGCAGAAGCCCCCACTTCACCACCCTGCTGCACGGCAGAGGTCCTGAGCTTTCCCCCCACCCCAGTCTGGTAGGTGGAGAATGGGGTGGGGGGCTCCGCGAGCTGCATTTTAATGGTAAAAGAGCTGCATGTGGCTCGCGAGCCACAGTTTGGCCACCCTTGGTCTATTTCATTTAACTGGGGCTCACTTAAACATGACTCCTAGCAAACTGCTTCATCATAATCATGGCAGTATTAGCAAACATACTACTTCAGGGGAAGAATCATGTTTGGCTAGTGCCAAGCATTTAAATGGTGCTTAACTAGGTATGAAATTCAAGTGGAACAACCTTTGGCCCTGTTTTCTCCATATAGCCTTCTTTGAAATAATTCCTTGTAATCCAGGGTATGAGCTAGAAGAACACAAGAGACATTGGTTACCAGCTCAGTCACACCCAGCGTTCTGGTCTCATTTGTCAAAGCAAACAATCAGCAGGGTTTTGCTTGTTTATCTGTCTGTCTACTTAATAAAGGGAATAAATGTTCATTCTGTTAAGGGTCACATTTTAAATGGAGACCATATTTTAGATCCCACGCTTGATCTACCTTTGTATACTGTATGTATACAGCATGTTCCCCCTTTCTACGTTGTCCTGAGCACTCCCTACCAAAGCTTACCTGCTAACCGGTACTAAATGAGCTGTTGTCTGGTTATATTGGAAGGGGAGACGCTAACCCTACCTATGCCTGATCAAAGTCAATAGGATGTTGGGGACAGAAGAAAGAAAGAAAGAAAGAAAGAAACACACACACACTCTCTCTCTCTCTCTCTCTCTGTCATGTCAATGGAAAGGAGAAACACCAACTAAAATGCAGAAATAACCTGGAAGCTGCCCGATTGATTGGCAGACTCCACAGGGCGTCTTTCTGCTTACGGGAGCAGGGCCGGCTCTAGGCACCAGCAAAATAAGCTGGTGCTTGGGGTGGCACATTTTTAGGGGCGGCATGGCCGGCGCCAGAATGCTGCCCCTGCCGCCCCTAAAAATGTGCCCCAGCCGCCCTAGCTCACCTCCGCTGCTGCCGCCGCTCACGAGCCGCTGCTCCCCCTCCCTCCCAGGCTCTCAAACCTGGGAGGGAGGGGGAGATCCCGAGCAGCCGCGGCACGCAAAACAGCTGATTCGCGCGCCGCTGCTCCCCCTCCCTCCCAGGCTTGAGAGCGTGAGGGTCACAGCACATGGACAGAAAGAAAATGGCTAATGGAGAAACAAAAATTCAGTCAAGCCATTAATTCCCCATTATGGGCTAGAGAAGCTTAGAAAGAAACATCTGGTCAGTTTGAGAAAGGATGATATTTTGCCCTTACACAGCGTCTGAAAGTTCCTTTAAATAAATCATTGAATGGTGCTTCACAAGACCCCCCTTCAGGTTGGTCATTATTACTAGATGGTAAATTGGGGCATGGAGAGATGAACTGACTCAGCTGAGTAAGCAGCAAAGCTAAGAACAGAACCCAGAAGTCCTGGCTTCCAGTCCCTGGTGCTTGCCATTAAACCTGACTTCCCTCTATTTATTTTATTTATAGCAAATGAATCCCAAAAAAGAGAATCCCCAGCTTCCCACATGACATTGCTTCCACATGCAGATCTTGCAGGCGGAAGTTTGGTGGCGAGGCTGATGTAGACTGGAAATTAGGTGCCATATGAGTCTCTATCAAAGCCCATCATTGTGGTCCCTCCCACCCCGCAAGAAGGGAAAATGAATGCAGGAGGAATTCCTGCACCGGTCACCCAAAGGGTCTGCAGGCTCTTTGCAAACATTTATTGTTTCTTCCAGCAGCACCTTGGGGAAATTGAGGCGCAGAGAGGGTGACTCGCCCAAGGTCACATAGTGAGTCAGTGGCAGAGCTGAGAAGAGAACCCAGGAGTCCTGCCTTCCAGTTCTTAGAAAGACATTTCCTAGAAAAGACAAGCGTCGACTGCCATTAATGGGAAGTAGCACATGTTGCCTGTGGTTCATGTTTGGGATGAATGAATCACATTAACACATTTACCTTTCCACTTTCATGATAGACAAAGAGGTTCCTTGTCTGACCTTCTTTGCTGTAGGTGATCTGCAGCCCATGAGGGTTTCTGATTTTCTCCGTCTGGAACATTGTGTTCAGATCCTTTATGCTGATCACAGCTTTCGGCCCTTTAGACTGTGGAATGGAAAATGTCACCGGGGCAGCAGTGACCTTACAGAGGCTAATCAAGAACTATGGAGACAAATGACCAATAGGCCCCTGTGGAGCTGCAATGTCTGATGCTGGCAAGGGCACTGAACTGACCACCCAGCACTAACTGAAGAAGCCTGATGCCTTGATTACCCGCGTCGCGTATAAACCACATTTTACTCTAAAGAATGACTTTTTCTTTGAGAAATGATGCTGTTCAACTCCAGTCTCTCCAGTCTGATTGTCTAGAGAACCATAAATTACAGGTTGCCATAGATGGTAGACATGTGTGATGCGGGAGGGACGAGGTGGAGTGCAGGGTCCTATGCATGTGCATCAAGAGAGCTCTGCTGGTAAAACCAGAGGTGACTCCTGACAGCAGAACCCTTCTTCCTCCTCCTGCTTAACTGCCCAAGTCTCTTTTCCCTGGTTCACCAAAGAGATGGGGATGAGGCTGCCGGGGGGGCCAGAGGAGGTGGGGAGAAGGGCCAGGTGCTCCCACGTAGGAAGGGAGCTGAATCAGACATCACATATGTTACCTGGCACAGGGTCCCCAACCCCCCCTCCAAATGCAGGGTTGGGCCTGGCAGCAAAGTCTAGAAAGCAGCAAAATGTTCAGCAGTTGTGCCTACGGGGACAGTGATGGTGCACTGGTCAGACTGGACACTGACCAGTCGCCGGCTGGGGCACTCACCTCTTTGGTGTAGTACTTCAGCACACCTTCCCTTGCCGACAAGAGGAACTGCCTCTTCAGGAACTGCCTGCTGTCCCGCCCGCGCTTCCACAGAAATCCTTCACGGCTGCCTGCAGACGCTAACAAGAGCAAGGGCGCCTCAGAGCTAGAGCCAGGGCAGCACACGAGCCGGGCAGTTTGTCTAAGTGGATTTCTAAGCATTCATTTCGCCTTGGAACTACGGAGCAGTGGAGAACAACCATCTTTCATTCAGCCTGACGCCGGGACCCAATCCTGAGAGGCACTGGATGTCTCCCGGGACGAGGTGAACCTCCTGGAGGCCGGTGAGAATTCCTCAGGTCCAGGCTGAGCCTAGCACGTTTTGGGCACTCCTGCCATCTAACTAACACTGATGACATGCTTCCAGCATTTGAATGTTCTCTCTTCATAGCCCTCCCTGGACTGAAAAGCTCCTTTCTATAGGAGGAATATTAGACACTGGAGTGGAGTGGTTAGAGCAAGGACTTGGAAGTCTGGACTCCTAGATCTTAGTCCTGTTACTTCTTTTGCAGGATCGAAGTCAGTTAATCATTCTGTGCCTCAGTTTCCCCACCTGTACAATGGGAAATCTGGATGCCTCACAGCGTGGTGGGGAGAATGACTGACTGTTTGGAAAGCCTTTGGGAGCCTCACTGTGCTCTGTTACAATTCACAATCTCCCGGGTAGAGCAAAGATCAGGACCGGATTTTCTCCGAACGAAAAGTGTGCTTCCTTCTAACCCTAGTGGTGCTGCTCTGTATTCCCGTGGTGAGGGTAACTGCTAAACAAATACAAGCAGCTTCTATGATATGGGCTGACAATTATAACTCCAGTTGAAGTTAACAGTACCTGCAGGGGCTAAGCTTCTCTGCAGATCAGGCCCGAAGGGAATGTCTAGACTGCAGTTAAACACCCATGGCTGGCCTCTGTCAGATGACTCGGGCTGTAAAACTGAGGGATAGATGTTGGGGCTCATGCTGGAGTCTGCGCTCTGGGCCCCTTCTCCCAGAGCGCAGGCTCCAGCCCAACTATCTACATTGCACTTTTACAGTCCTGCAGCCCACGCCGAGACAGGGCAGCCAGGGGTGTTTAATTGCAGTCTAGACATACCCTGCAATGACTTGTCCGAGGTCATAGCGTCAGCCAGAGAGCTGGGAATAGAACCAGGTCTCCCAACCCCGCTGCTCCAACAACGGCCCATGTTGCCTCCCTAAACCAGGCACCTGGGTGCTCACATTGGACTTGAGGTGAGAAAATGCCCGTTTTAGTTGCCTAAAGGCCAATCTGAGTGTCCCCATGTGGGATTTCTTATTCAGATGCCCACGCTCAGAAGCTGGGCCTCCCAGGTGAGAGGATTTGGGCTGGCCACTCAGACAGATCAAACAGGACGAGGGTTTCGCAGCTGACTGAAAACAAAGTCGCTCCAGCTACTCCTCGGCATCAGGCTGACACACACGGGGTTCCAGTTCTTGGGACTTGGGCCTCACCAGACTAAAAACCCTCCACAGACAATCACCTGAGGAACCTGTTTCATGGCAGACACTGGTGGCAACAAACTCTTCCCGCTCGTATTTAGCTCTGATCCATTGTTCTTTTAAAACCCTGAAGAGAGGAAAGACGGGTTAGTTGGATCTGCCTCTCTTTCCTTTCACTGACGTTGCACAGCCCTTTCCAGCGACGTACAGAATGAGGCCAACCAATGCTTCCTGACACATAGAAATAGACAGCTTCTGAGTGGTGCAAACTCACTCTAATTCCCCTGACTCCAAGGAGAGCAACTGAGGCCAGCAAGAAAATATAACTGGAAAAATGGGCAAAACATTTAGTAACTTTTTGCCTAGGTAACACAGGCTGGTAGGAATGGCTATTTGCTGGCAGCAGAACTAAAATCACGCTCATGTTATTTCTCTGGCTGCAGTTTCCAGGCAAGCTGCAAGAAGAATCTTGCTCCCTAAAGGGCAGAGTAATTAACAAGTGTGTTTTTGTGGGGAGGCGGAAATATAAGCGGCAAACGGGGGGAAATGAAAACCACCCAAAGAACTAGCCCAGCTTCCCTAGCTCTCGGATACACCAGAGAGATGCTGCAAAATGGAGTTTGGGGCGCATTTGGATCCCAGTCAGAAACCACTGCTCCTGGGAGGGTTCAACACAGAGGAATTTGCAGATTCCCTGCCTGCACCATGCAACCTAAAGCTGGATGACCTGTTCCCATCTCGGATGCTGGGATGTTTGTGAGCAATGCATTGAACGATGAATCTTCGGGCTTGAGGCGAAGGCAATGTAAATTGACAGAGCCCCACTGATTCGCGGCAGAAGAGGCTCTGATCCTTAGATTGCAAGCTCTTTGGGGCAAGGATCATCCTGTTACATCCTGCTTAGCACAATGGGGCCGTGACCTCTAGGTGTTACTGCGACCCAGATAATAATAGCAGTAATAAGTCACTGTGAATTGTTGAAAACATCTGGGACTTAGAACTGGAAAATGCTCCAGGACATGCTGGAGCTAAATCACAGGCAGCCAAGCCTAGAGTAACACAGGGAGAGTGGGGAGTTTTCTCTGATCGATCCTATCACTGGGAAAACCAGCTCCCCACTTTCTGTTCTCACAACCTTGGGCTCTCCTCTATGGCCTGGGACCAATCCTTAAACTGGGGGAATTCACGTAACAAGGCAGGCTTGAAATAGGAAGTGGAGCAGAGTGAGGGGGTAGATGAAAGAATCATAAAATTGTAGGACTGGACGGGACCTCGAGAGGTCTAGTCCTGTCCCCTGCACTCATGGCAGGACTAAGTATTATCTAGGGGAACTCCTGTTATGCTGGAACACAGGGCTGGGATTAAGAGTGAAGCCCAGGAGAGAGATCGGGAAAGCAGGGGAACTCCTATAATTCTACAGCACAGACAGGCCTGAGAATGAGGGGGAGTCCAACTAGAGAGCAGATCCCAACAGACCTCTCATTTAATCCTCTCTTTCCTACTTTAGTTCCTTTAACCTTCTATTCCAGCCTTTTGCATCTTCTTAAAACCTCAGGTGACATCTTGGTGCTGACTTCCTGCTCATTCTGAACATGGCCTGAGAACCAGGTCAAGGCCCTAATTGCCTAGCCAAGATTAGGGTGACCAGATGTCCCGATTTTATAGGGACAGTCCCGATATTTGGGGCTTTGTCTTATATAGGCACCTATTACTCTCCACCCCGTCCCGATTTTTCACATTTGCTGTCTGGTCACCCTAGCCAAGATTAATGTCAGAGTCAGTGACAGAACCCAGGAGTTCTGACTCTGCTAATCAAGGACCTGCTCCTGCTACACTGAAGACAATGTCAAAACTCTCAGACCCAGATCCCTAAAGGTATTTAGGCACCTAATTCCCATTGATTTCAATGGACATTAGGCATTTAAATATCTTTGAGGATCTGTGCCCCAGTGACTCTACTGGAGCAGAATTGGGTCTCAAGCCAATGGCGTGCACATGGAAACTTAGTCACGCTTTTACAAAGTTGCTGAGTTAATCAATAATATTTAGAACAGGCCTAATCCTAAAGACGGGAACATCACATCCAACCCTCCTGAGCTTTAGCGCCAGGTCTAGAATTCACGGTCCAGGCCTCTCTCTATTATAGAGGTTTTTAAGGTCAGGCTTGACAAAGCCCTGGCTGAGATGATTTAGTTGGGGTTGGTCCTGCTTTGAGCAGGGGGTTGGACTAGAACCTCCTGAGGTCCATTCCAACCCTGATATTCTATGATTCTATGAGAGACAAACTGGTATCCCCAAAATCTATAACCTTTGTTTTAACATCCAAACTCCAGGACTGCTCCCCATCTCTGTTAAACCTCCTCCACACAAATGCATGGAAGTACTATACCGGTTTAACAACCTTCAAGATACAAATTGACACTAATGGGGATTGAACCTGTGGTTGTTAGGCTCCTAGACACCAGAAATCCTAATGTTTAAGCCATTAAACCACCTCTCAGAGAAAAAAAGGTTACAACTACAGCCCTCAAACTGAATTCATGGCTCACATGCTATTGGAAACAAGAAGATAAAAACATAAGTCACTTAATGACATACAAGGTATGGCCAAGATACATGATTCTTTCCACTGCAGCCCAGCATGACCTGACATTCATTCAGATTACCGAACATGCTATTGGGAATTGTTCGTGAAGACACATTTATGGGGGGAAGCAACAGTTACTGACTTGCAAAGGTTTGCAGCACTGAATAAGGCAGCAGCTTACAGGCAGTCCTTGGAATGGGGGATGTAATAGAAAGGTGGGACTTTTGCCTCATATTTAGCCTTGGCCCAGAGATTCCCATGCGTCTTCATAAACTGCAAAACAAAAGACATTTCAGTTATTTGACTGGCAACCAGAAAAATCAATACTGTGACGTGAACATGGAATGAAACTAGGATCAAATGCAGCATTGTGCTCTGCTCAGATTGTGCATTTTGCCAGCCTCCCCATGCCAGTATGTGTTTGTCTCTAGTCATTTATAATCTCCTCTCTGGGGATAATAATACATACACCTCTCCACAGGGAGTTGGGAGGCTGAATTAATGTTTGAAAAGGGCATCGGGATGCTCAGATAGAAGACACTATATATGTGAAAATCATTGTGTGCTTACAAAACACAATGTGCACTTATGGGGCTATATAAATAATACATCATAATACTTTAGAGGCACAACCACCTATTAGCGTGCTTTGATTTGACTTGTGGGCAGAGGCAGCCCAGATATTCCAGCAGGGATTAATTTGGCTCCATGTGGTTTTTGTTAATCTGACCAGGCTATTTTGGAACACGGGACAGAAAAGGCTGTGCTGAAATACAGCAGAGTGGGCGTGAATTCTTGCTTTCTCCATCTGTACCTCTACTAGATCATTCTCCCAGAAGTCAAGGTGGATGGATTTGACCCTGCTGACTTCAGGAAGGTTGCGATGAATCCCGGAGCAATTCAAACAAATGAATATTCCAAGCTTGTAAGAGGCCCACTCAGGATCTAAACACAAATTGAAAGAAGGCAATAGTGCAATATATAATAAAGCATGTAGCAAAACACTGAAAAGGGTTCATCTTCTAATCCAGGGGTAGGCAACCTATGGCACGGGTGCCGAAGGCAGCACGTGAGCTGATTTTCAGTGGCACTCACACTGCCCGGGTCCTGGCCACCGGTCTGGGGGGCTCTGCATTTTAATTTAATTTTAAATGAAGCTTCTTAAACATTTTAAAAACCTTATTTACTTTACATACAACAATAGTTTAGTTATATATTATAGACTTCTAGAAAGAGACCTCCTAAAAATGTTCAAATGTATTACTAGCACACGAAACCTTAAATTAGAGTGAATAAATGAAGACTCGGCACACCACTTCTGAAAGGTTGCCGAC